CCCCAGATGATATTGCTGATAGGGTGAGGATGGATGCCGGCGAAGTGACGTTAGTGAACCACAACTCCATATTCAAAACCCACTTCCTGCAACAAACAGCTTTTTCAGAGGACCAGCTTTTACTTTCTGACCAGCAGGTAAGGGATAATTTTCTGCCCTTAATAATTTTGGCTTGGTGTAAATTTTTATCTAATATAGTTTAAATGCCACACTCAAAAATACAAGCATATGTGTAAACTTTTTAGACTCACTAATTTCAGTGTTTGGAATTATATTTGATATGTTAAAGTTAAGACAAGAAAATGAAGACAAAAAAGGCTCATATGAATTCTTCAAGAATGGGACCTATTAGAAAACTCTTCTTTGTTCCTGTGAATGTTACAGTCACCAATACACAGATCACAGAGCCAGCAGGTAGCGTGTTGGTTAAGGCACTGGATCTCACATGGCTGGTGGCTAGAGTCCTAGACCCTGAGGCCTAAAAACCATGGCAGACAAGTATGCGTGCATACCCAAAATCCTAGGAGGAGAGTGGAGGAGAAGGAACTGGGGCATGGCCATCCCCCCGCTGTGGGTGGGGGGTGAGTTCTCACTTTTCTCCTCTCTCTCTGTCTCCATGTGCCCTATAGCAAAAAAAACTACCAAAAAAAAAAAAAAAAAAAACCAAGAAAAAAACCAACAATAACAAAAAAGACTAGTATATTAAATGGGGGTAAAATATCTAAATATACAGCAGTGCTGAGGTTTGTCTGTACTGTAAAGCTTAGTTTTTAAAGGTCTGTGGTCCAGGACCAGCATCATCGGCATCATTGGGAGCTTGTTAGAAATTTAGACTCTCAGATTTTATCCTGTACTACTGAATCAGAATCTATATTATAAAAACATCCCCCACTGATTTTTATGCACATTAAAATGTAAAGAATACTATTAATAAAGCAGTCTTTCTCTAAAAGTCACTAGTAATTTATTTATTTATTATTATTATTTTTTTATTTTTAATTTTATTTATTTATTCATTTATTTTTAGTTTGACTAGAGAGACACAGAGAAAGAGGGAAAGTGAGAAAGCGAGCCAACAGGTCTGAAACTTGAACCATAGTCGGCCATGTGGGAGTGTCCAGCGCCTTAACTACCACGGCACCTGCTGGTCCCAAAAGTCACTAGTAATTTAGATGAGTTAGTTCTTTGCTATGGGGATCTGTCCTAAACAGAGCAGTACTTAGCATCTTTGTCCCCTAGCACTAAATATTAGTGGCATCCACCTCCCCATAATGATTTTTTCTTTTTTTTTTGAGGAGGTTTTTGCTATAGGGCGTGTGGACTCACCAGAAAGAGAGAGACAAAGAGACAGAAAGCAAAAAATCACCTCCCATGGGGATGGCCACACCGCAATCCCTTCTCCTCCATTCTCCTTTTGGGATCTTGGGCACGCACCACATCCACCCAGTGTGAGTTTAAACCACCGGGTCTGGGACTCGAACTGCAGTTGACTACATGGGAGTCCAGCGAAATAGCCATTACACTAACTGCTGGTCCTTCCCCATAATGATTTTGATATTAAATATATATACACACATTTTCAGGGATGCAGCACTGCCACTGATTAAAAATGATCTCTGTAGAGTTATCAAAAGAATCAAAATATGGTTGATTTTCTCAGTCTCTAATATATGATACAGCTGGCATCAGTTAGGTAACAGATAGTTTGTTTATTTTTTTTCTCTCAAAGAATCACTTTTATCAGGTTGTTTATGTGTTTTTCTTCCTTATTAGTATGTAGTTTATTACTTATAATCTATAAAAATATAATTAATGATTTCTGAAATATGCCATCATTTTGTTTAATGATTTTTTTCTAATATAAATTTTGTCCATTTTATTGTAAAAAAAATTGATTTAAGAAAAATCTTCTGCTTTGTTTAGATTACACCTTCCAGGCAAGAAAATTTGGACCCATCTTTTACATGTTCCATAAGAAGCGAAGCTTATAATCCAAATTATTACTCAGGTATGATATGTTATTTGGTGTCAAGGCACTTAGACCTTTCAGTTTTTTTTAACCAGATCATTTGCATTTTTGTCTCAAAAAGTAAAAATATTGTCAAAAGCAGAATGTTTTCTCCATTAAAACATTTTAATAAGCTTTTGTGTGTATGTACAAGGGGACTTTGAAAAGTCCACAGAAATATAGAATTAAAGTATGAGTTTATTTTGGTTCTTAAAAAAATTAAAAATCTATGCAGTTTTTTTCATAATATTTATTTTCCATGAATTCTTTGAAGATCCCCTCATAATTGGTTACTATAATACTTCACTGATCTAGTCTCCACCAAATATTAATAATTCAGTGGGAAGTATTTTTTAATTCTACTTGTGTTTTATAATTCTACCTGTTTTTTTTTAATTCAACTTCTCCATTATGCTATTGTAAAAAGCAATACAGCTTTGTTTTTGTTTTTTACTTTTTTGGTATAATTTTGTCCATTTTATTGTAAAAAAATTGATTTAAGAAAAATCTTCTGCTTTGTTTAGATTACACCTTCCAGGCAAGAAAATTTGGACCCATCTTTTACATGTTCCATAAGAAGCGAAGCTTATAATCCAAATTATTACTCAGGTATGATATGTTATTTGGTGTCAAGGCACTTAGACCTTTCAGTTTTTTTTAACCAGATCATTTGCATTTTTGTCTCAAAAAGTAAAAAAATTGTCAAAAGCAGAATGTTTTCTCCATTAAAACATTTTAATAAGCTTTTGTGTGTATGTACAAGGGGACTTTGAAAAGTCCACAGAAATATAGAATTAAAGTATGAGTTTATTTTGGTTCTTAAAAAAATTAAAAATCTATGCAGTTTTTTTCATAATATTTATTTTCCATGAATTCTTTGAAGATCCCCTCATAATTGGTTACTATAATACTTCACTGATCTAGTCTCCACCAAATATTAATAATTCAGTGGGAAGTATTTTTTAATTCTACTTGTGTTTTATAATTCTACCTGTTTTTTTTTAATTCAACTTCTCCATTATGCTATTGTAAAAAGCAATACAGCTTTGTTTTTGTTTTTTACTTTTTTGGTATATAGGTACGTGATGTAAAGCAAATGTTTGTTTTGAATTGATTTAAACTACAAAACAAGTTTATTTCTATTCTGCTTGACACCATGAAACCCGAAAATTTATTTCTGCTCAAGCTTGTTATTCTATTAGGGCAGGAAATGTTAACTGTATGTTTCTGTCTAGCACCTGCCACAGCCATATGCTTGCATATTCAAGGACTTATCTATTCAACTTGTGATCCATAGCAGAAGTCAGCATTCTCTAGGCTATTCCCATCCTCTCTAGCTGTTTCCTAAGGTTTGCACTCACAAGGACTTTCTGCCTCTGCCTTGGCAGACTGAGTTTTGTTGGTCAGCTTCTTGGCAGCATTGACTCAGGAGGATTGCATAGGTCTTCCCAGGTCTTTCTACTACTCATGCTTCAGTCTTCTCACCTAACCACAAATATGAGACTACAAGTAATACCATTGAACTTTACCTCAATGGGATTTTTATAAGGATAAGTAGAGACGATAAATATGAAATGCAAATAATAATTCTTGTTATTTGGCTTCCTCAGGATTCTTTGTCAGCAAGATGAGATCTCCTCCCCTAAAAAGACGTTAGTATGATGCTATTTTAGATTTGTATTATATTCACATGTGGTTTAGATGGGTGGTACTTTATCTACCTGGGCACTCGGGTGGGCAGTGATTTCCACATTAAATATGCATAATTTGTATAGAAAAATCAGTTAATATGCTCAGGAAGTAACTGTACTGTCATTATTGAAAAGGCTTTTTTGATGAACAGAGAGCCTGAAATCTGGTTTGATAACTCATTAATCCTACAGGAAGGATAGTTGAGTGGTTAATGAAATCAGATCATTAATATTTCCATCTGATCTCAAGCTGTGTATGCTTGTAATTTCATATGCTGACTTACCATCACATAGAATCTCTGTTTCAAGTTTAAAATAATAATTCATTCCTTGGCAAAATCTACACAAACTAACATAAAAGTGTGTGATTTTTTTTTTTTTAATAATAAAGCATTTATAGAAAATTAGGGGATCAGGGATGAGCAGATGGTATAATGGCTATGTCACTGGACTCCCATGTAGTCAACTGTGGTTTGAGTCCCAAACCTGGTGGCTTAACCTCACGCCAGGCACATGTGTGTACATCCCCAAGATCCTGGGGGGAGAATGGAGGAGAGGGGATTGCAGCGTGGCCATCCTCTGTGGGGGTGTGATTTCTTGCTTTCTGTCTGTCTCTTTCTGGCAAACACACGTGCCCTATAGCAAAAGTATCTCCAAAAAAAAGAAAACTGGGGGACCAGCAGATGGCTTAATGGTTATGTCACCGGACTCCCACACTGTTGACTGCAGTTTGAGTCTCGAATCTAGCAGCTTAAAACTCATGCCTGGCACATGTGCATGTGCAAAATCCCAAGAGGAAAATGGAGGAGAAGGGATTACAGTTCGCCCATCCCCCGAGGGATGATTTGCTTTCTTTCTCTGTCTCCCCAGAAAGCCCATGCACCCTATAGCAAAAATCTCTCTTAAAAAAATTTTTTTATAGAAAATTATACTTAAAATCTCCTAACCATAGCTCAACTCTTACTTATTAACTCAACTCTCTGATTTCTGTATACCTATATAGTGCACATATGATTCAGTGCATAAGATCTTTTTTTTTAAGTCAATTATTTTTTTCTCACTTTTCCATCTATTTACACATTCTTCATATTTTATCATTTTCTCTTGATTTCTAATGGAATTAATGCACATGTGCATAGTCCCTTATGGGTAATTCCTAAATCCAAAAAACTGAGAATCAAACATTTTTTTCATTACTTGTTTAATATCAAAACCTAACTTGATCTGAATTCATTCCTTGGCAAAATCTACACAAACTAACATAAAGGTGTATGTTCTTTTTTTTCTATATATATATATATAGATATATAAATATATATGTATATTTAATTTATTTAATGAGAGAGAAAGAAGTATGGCATGACAGTGTCTCATGCAATACTTCTCCCAAGCCATTCTCAGCCAGCCAGGATCACAGACATTTACATGTGTACCTGGTAACTGACTCCTGGTATTTCATATAGCTTCCAGCATTGCAGAGCAGTGTGTTATGGCTGTGCTGCCATGGCTGGGCCAAACTGTTTATATTTTGTCTTTATTTATCTCTGTAAATATAAGTGTTTACACATTTTGCTGTAGATAGATACATATGTTTGATTATGGGATACTGCTCCAGATTATACTTAGAAGTATTACTAAACCAGTTATCTTTTTAAAATTCCCCAGATTTTAAATTCACTAATACAGCTGGACCCAAAGGGTTTATGATTTAGGATAATAGGCCTGTGCATTCATCTGCTTCATTATTTTTCCTGTGGTTTAAGTCTACTTTACACTTGCCATTTTCAGCTATTATTAAGAACACAACTTAAAAGCATTTATGTATAGGGTCAGCAGGTGGTGTGGTGTTAAAGGCACTAGATTCCCACATGGTCAACTGTGGTTCTAGTTCTGGACGTGGTGGCTTGAAAAATCATGCTGGGAGTGTGTACATGCATGCCCAGAATCCCAGGAGGGAAATGGAGGAGAAGGGATTGTGGCATGGCCATTCTCCCACTGGGGGTGATTTCTTATTTTCCCTCTTTCGGTTTCTCTTTGTATGTCTCTGGTGAATGTACACGCCCTATGGCAAAAACCTACCAAAAAAAATGTATGTATATAGCTTTTTCTTTTAAATTTTAGTAGACCCTTGATATTGGCAAGGATATATCCGAGATCATCTCCGATCCTCATGTTCTTGCCTACAATATTTGACAGATTCCTTGGTTCTAGTCAGTTACCTGATGGTAGACAGTTAAATTTTTATATGTTTAGCTTCTTACCTCAGGTTGATTCCCCATATTAAAAATCTTAAACAGTTTTATCTCTCACTTGAATACC